AAAAACTGAAATTACGTCATATTTGTGACGTCCGTACATAATCAATATGAAATTATTCTGTGCTTTTGCATATACTCCCCTGTTTAAGGACTTAATTAAATATTACTCCATCAAAGTTTGATTTTGGGGGGCAAATGTTGGTTAATACCGCATATAGTTCTTTGGTTCTTTGTGTGACCATAAGGTGAGTTCTCAAGGTATTTTGCGAATTATCTTGGTTGAAAGATTAGTACCTCAAATAATTAAATTATTTTCTCGGCAAAAATCTACCGCCAATGATATTAAACTCACAAAAGCCATATTTTCCCACAATATATTCTATTCTTTAATTGTTGTTCCAATATTAATTGGTTAATGAAGCCTAATGAATATTATAGGCCACTCGCTATGAATTCGTCATTGGAAGACCCAGCTTCGATTCCCGTTCTTAAAACCTAAAACGTAAACATAGGAAGTGACTTTTCTTCGCCAAGCTTCCGGCACTAAATTTTGAAAGTCACTAGTCATTCAGATGAAACCTTAAAAACCAAGGGTCCATGACTTTTGTAGACGTTGGAATGATAATGAACCCTCACTGCTCAATGACCTCTTAGTGCCGAGAGTAGGTCTATAAATTTCTTTTCACGGACATACGTTGACCTCTCTGTATGAGTGAAATCTTGCATATTCTACTACGATTATTGCCGACATCAAAGAAATGCTGCGGGCATTATTCTCCAATAAATCACGAACGTCATCAAAAAATATCAGATCAGAAACACGTATCAAACCTGTGCAGTTGAAATGTACATTTGACTTAAGAATGAAATACATGTACATATTTAGATCATCGATGGGTCGTCTTTTGCAATTTAAACACTGTATATTGCAGAAAGAAGCGGGGCTGTTTCACGGACCTCCTTACGCCATATTTAAACTCCGTGATTTTAATGATAAAGTGGTAAAATAAGGAGCTAAATGGAACAGCGCTTCTACAGCATGGTGACCTAATTCGTTTCTCTATAGAGAACCATATTTTTACAGCTGTAGTTAGAGATTAATTTTAGATGAATAATCGAAATGTTGTTTGAAATACAAATATGAAATACAAACATATCTTTCAAACAACATTTCTCGACCTCGGAGGTTATTCTGCAACATTCACGAAAACGAGGGCTTTATTTCTTAAACGAATGAGATGTTATACAATCAAATCCATCACAGTTGAACTTATAAGTACATATATACCCAATAGGTGGATGCGTAATGAATGATGAAAGAAAGCTTTGTGCAGTTCTCTATACAAGAAAAATCTTTTACTTCCTATTCTTTGTCTCTTTTTAGCTCTACTGGTCAGAGACCAGAAGAGCTTATGCGATAGTAATGCGTCCGTCGTCCGTCCGTCTGTCTGTCTGTCTGTCTGTCTGTCCGTCTGTAAACAATTTTTCAAAATGCTACTCCTCCTACAGTTTTGGTCTGATTTCAATATAACTTGGCACACAAGTAGACTACACTAAGATACATAATTCTGTGTATCGGTTTTTGATTTCGATGAACGGTGTTGCCGTGGACACTAAAAATAGAAATTTCTGTGAAATTCTTTCAAAATGCTACTCCTCCTACAGTTTTAATCTGATTTCATTATAACTTGGCACACAAGTAGACTACACTAAGATACACAATTCTGTGTATCGGTTTTCGATTTCGATGAACGGTGTTGCCGTGGTTACTAAAAATAGAAATTTCTGTGAAATTCTTTCAAAATGCTACTCCTCCTACAGTTTTAGTCTGATTTCAAAATAACATGGCACACAAGTAGACTACACTAAGATACATAATTCTATGTATCGGTTTTTGATTTCGATGAACGGTGTTGCCGTGGTTAAAAATAGAAATTTCTGTGAAATTCTTTCAAAATGCTACTCCTTCTACAGTTTTAGTCTGATTTCAATATAACTTGGCACACAAGTTACAATAAGATACATAATTCTGTATATCAGTTTTTGAGATGTTATACTAAAAATAGAAATTTCTGTAAAATTCTTTCAAAATGCTACTGTTGAACTGATTTCAATATAACTTGGCACATATATACAATAAGATACATAATTCTGTGTATCGGTTTTTGATTTCGATGAACGGTGTTGCCGTGGTTATTAAAAATAGAAATTTCTGTGAAATTCTTTCAAAATGCTACTCCAAATACAATATTAGTCTGATTATAATATAAATGTGGCATGCAAGTATCTGCCCTAAGAACATAAAGAGACTTAATCAAGGATCAAAGTATTCTTTTATTGCTGTTGAAAAGTTTCAATTTCCAGCTCTACTTTCTCTTCCTTTGCTATTTAGAGCTTCAATCTCGACAGAGACGTCGTCTCTCTCGAGAATTTTTCATTCATATGAAGACGCCATCATATCACTTGCCCGTGGAGGGCTGCAAATATACTTATGCTCGGCACCCAGGGCAACGGTGCAGTGTTTTTCATGCCAACACCTACTGCGACATGGTTTTCTCCGAAGGACCGATGTGCCGCAGTGGATTCAACCCACGACGTAAGGATCAGCTCTTTCTCCGTGACTCTAGAGCAAACACTCTTACTACTGTCCCACGCGGGCGACTCTGGTTTCCAGTCTAACATCCATTTTCTTTCTTTTCTAATGAGTATTACTTCTCTTCATCGCAGCTATCCTGTTCATCGTTTTTACAAGAGAATAGTATCTGCTGATCAGTAGCAAGTTCTCAAGCCCAAGTTCATGTCCAAAGTTCAAAGGCTTGAATATATTTGAGATATAATAAGCTGATCGTTGTAACATCTCCATCTGGTCGTGAATAGCATTGTTTTATGTGTGCAAAATATGATTATCCGGAGATAATCCGTGAATATCACATTAACCTCCAAGATCACGTTACTTCTTTTGTGAGCAAACAACTTCAGAATGATTGAAAACCTATTGGTCACATGCATATACCTTTCTGACATGTTTTACTCTCTGGTTCTCTTCAAAGTCAAAATATATGTGACCCATGGTAAGAGCGTTTGCTTAAGAGTATCCTTACCTCGCGGGTTTGAACTCCGCTGAGAGATTTTTGGATGAGACCATATAAATACAAGACCAGTGTCACTGTGGTGTTGACACATAAAAGATCCCTCTATGCTCAAAGGCTGTAGGTCTGAAAAGACGCCAAACTTTTTTGTTTTGAAAAAAAAAGTTTTGTAAGCGTTGCCTTTTTCCTTAAAGAATATAAACCTGTTATTCCGAAAACTCTAACCCTGTACCATGCACACCATCTGCTTCCTTTAAATACCACAATTAGAAAAATATTATCTTCAAACAGAGTTGAAACCAACTTCTCTGAAATGGATTAAACAGCACATATTTTGGTATACAATAGGATCATTCAGTTTGCCAAAAATGCCATCGTCCACAAACTTTAAGGACAATTCAGACCCTCTTTGTGCACATTTGAAATAAGGATGTATTCGCTTTAACAAAAGAATTGACCTATAGGAGAGAACAATTTCCCGGAAAAAACGACATTTAAAAAGCAATCTTTATTTGTTGTTTTCTACCGTATACATGTTTAAAATTTTCAAATTTGTATTTGATACCTCAAATTTATTATTTATAACTTTACAATAAACCTCCAAAGTTGATCGAAACACCATTTTGTCCATAAAAGCATTGATTTTTGCATGAATTTTGGCCTTGAAGTCCTTCAGGGCAGGCCTGCCCCTAAATAAAATTGTGATATTTTGATAGGTTAGGATGTAAGGAATAAATTAAGATAAGATTTTTTTAGGGGCACCCCTGCCCTGTGGTCGAAATTCATAAAAAACCTACAAAAAATAGGGAAACCTGATTTTCATCACCAGCTTGAAATTTATGCTACTTATTCTTATAGTCAGACTAGCTCAGTTGATATAAGCGCTGACTTTTGCACCTTAGATACTTTGTTTTTAAACCTGGTACAACACTTTTAAACTTTTAAATTTCGTCTTTTCAAAGACTATTTAGATTTTTTATATAGATTTGTGTATTTTTCCTTCAATTATTTATCCTTTATGCATGCCCATTATTGATATATAAGAAACACTAAAGAGATATCAAATCGTAACAATCCAATGTACAGTTCTCAGTCAGGCGGAACGAACCTCAGTATAAGCACACTTTCTTCGAGGACAAGAATAACTCACTCTGTGTTACTCAATACAGGTATTCTTGGCAGCATTGAGCTGCAATGAATTTCAATTGTATATATTCCTTATAATTAAATCACATTGATTTTGGCTACATATTTCAGTAAATGCATTCCCTTGGATTTCATTTAGGCCTATATAATTTGCACACATTAATGACATGTTTTATTATATCCACGGATAAATGGCCTAGACATGAAGAACATAATTCAGAGACAGTAGACACTACCTTTATGAACCATGAGAAGTAAAGACAAATATCAATTAGTATTTATGGAGATAAACTCAGAAAATCAATGAAAGGGTTCCTCCTACCTCTACTAACTGAAATAAAAATTTAGGAAAACAAATTATTATATGTATTTAGCCTAATGTCATTAATCGGAACGGAAATCGACAAGCTTTTTGTAGAGAAAAAAACCAAGCCCGGTCCTATAGGTCAGATCCCTATTTATAATGAAGTGATCCAAAATTTCAACGATGAGCAGGAAAATGAAGGGGTTTTATTTCCAAATTCTTTGAGTTGTAACGACAGTATGCGACAGATGTTTCAATTTCCCTTAAGAAATATTCTAATTTTACAACAGCTACTTAGTACATTAGATCAAACGCCATCATTTGCTTAGCTACTTGAATGAGGGGTTTCGGTTGAAACAACGATTCGAACCTGCATTTTTAAGATAATCTCTGAAACAAAGTTAGACATTCATTCAACTATGCGAATGACCGAATCAATTTTCATAGTTTCAAAGATTATGTACAAGATGATTTATTTAATGTTTCGTCACTTTTCTATGACAATTTTTTTTTCACTGTTAGTTAGCATTGCCATAGAGGACATCGAAAGAACGGGCATCATCAAGGAGGGATCTATTGAAGTGGAGTACGCTAACACACGATGTAATGGAGTTCATGGCCTGGGTAAGACTGAACTACTGATATGTTATTTTCTAGATTATTAAGTGGTTTCCTACACTTCTTTTCCTTTCTGTAAAAACGCCATCGACAACAGAGCAAAAAACAGAACCTTATATATATATTTAAACTCATCTCATATCAGATTCCTCTTACCGTAACTTATTTTTCTGAAAAAAAAGACGACTTCGAAGATTTAGAAAACTGACTTGATATAAATACATAATTGTCGGTACCCGTAAGATACCAAATACATTTGCAATTTGCGTACGTACAAGAAGGCACATTCTTCTTAACAAAATCTGTATTGATCGAGTCTATCCTCGGGAAAACAAAACATACGGACAAACAACTATAGTAATAGCGAAAGACGCTGTTTCTGTAGACTGTCGATTTATGATTGCCTATTTAGTAGAATGATATAGAGAACATTGTCCATAGCTTACTAATAAATCAGAAAGTCCTATGAGTGCGCGAAATTATAGTTCTTCGACTGTGGATGAATAAAGGGAAACTCAAGTATTTGCATCAATGAAATTCGAGATAATAAGCACCGTCCTCATATTTACCTGGTCTGTATTCCCCTGTCAATCAAGTGAATTAAGATCCATCATTGGGTCCTTGCGTCGCGGGTTCCAAATCTCACTGTGGGACATGGAGACCTGTCCTTCGGATGAGACCGTATAAACCGAGGTCCAGTGTCGCAGTAGGTGCTGGCACGAAAAAGATCCCTCACTGCTCAATGGCCGTAAGTGCCGAGTATAGGACAAAATTTGCAGCTCTCCACTGGCAAGCGGTGGCGTCTCCATATGAAAGAAAATTCACGAGATGGACGTTAAACAATTTACAATCGATCAATATTACAAATGTTTTCATCTGAGTTGTTGCTTATTTCAAATGTCTACATTTGAATTATTGCTTATATCTGGCATCGCAGACGAACCCAGCTAGTGATTTCCCGAGTACATCTTAATAAATTCAAAATGTGCTAAAATAATTTCCAGAAGAGAATATTAAAGTATTTATGTGAATCAATCTTTCTTGTAGTACATGTATTCTCTTTAGGAAAATGGACAAGCTTTCGCCTACATCCATGGATGAAGGCCAAAGCTTGTCCACTTCTGTAAAAGAAATATTCTAGTAATCTCGGCCTTTAAGGAAACCAGATTTATGGTCATTTTTAGTAACCTGTTATACTATGTCTTGAAGAGATTTATATTGTTCAATTGACTATTGGAAACTATTTTTTTTAACATTTATTTTACCTCTATTGTACATTTATCCCAGAAAGATTGCAAACAAATGCACCGTTTCATCTTTTTTAACCTTTAATAATCGATATTGATTACTATGCAAGTGTGTTCACACCGTTGGAATCTGAAAATATATTATTTCGCTTGGAAACTTTCAAATTACTATTATAGCAGCCTGCTTTAACGAGACACGTTCACTAATCTCAGGAATGATGGATGTGATTTTTCTGTTTTTGATATCATAGGTGTATAAAAGTTTTGATTTATTGATGAATTGATATATTTGCATTTGTCTTCACATTTTCTAACAAGTCTTTTTTTATTTCCTGGATTAGGAAGAAATTTTAACGACATTGGTTTCAAGAAAAATCATGAGTTTTCGAGTATTTTTTTAAAAGAAAAATGAATCGTTATGTAACATGCAGGAACATGAATCAGACATTCCTATCAATTAGAATCATTGTCTTCTACAATTGTAATAACGTCGTTTAAAAGTACACCAAAGGAACGAGAAACAGCATAATAATGAAAAGAACAAAACTTAGACGAAAAAAACGTTTCCTTATTATGTTTACTCAATAACGTAAATCATAAATTAAGGCTCATTTGGGCGCGGGATTAATACAGATTTTTCTAACTCCTTTCCCCTTTGTGTTTTTTAATTTTTCATCATAATATCTCGAGTTCCTCAAAACCATTTGCTTTACGTGAAAACTGACGAGGAAGCTTTTTAAATTTCCTTTTTAGAAACGGAAGCGGTCTGTCAAATAACAAAAGAACGTTGTCATTAGTTGTTGCTTTCAGCTTCATATGCTTTTGTTTTAGGAATCACTAGCGATATGTTGCGGAAGAGAAATTACAGTGCCATTATTGGTCCTCAGTGTTCACAAGTGTGCAGTTTTGTGGGACGACTAGCTGCTTATTATAACATTGCGTGTTTCTCAGGAGTTTGCCAAGATACAGAAATGCTCAATAAAGATGTGTTCACGGTATGAAATCTATTTTCAAGAGTCTTTAATTAGTCGTCTTAATAAATGTGTGTGCCTGGATTTTGCTGCTACACTGTAGCAGATGTCTTTTGTTGATAACAAAAACAACTAATCCATAGTTTGCAAAAACATTGAAGCCAAAAATACATAAAAAAGGAAGAAATCATTTCATAGATGACAAGTAGGTTAATCCATCCTGCTTCGTACACGTACATACAATGTCCTATACTTCTAACAGTTTGGGTTTAATCGTGTCCTCAAAATTAAATGTTTTCAAAAACATATGATATTGGCTTAAATATGAATAAGAATTTGTGAATGTGATAAATTATGAAAGAACATGGCACAAAGGAGGCTCCTATTGGACACCCCACCTTGGTACATGTACTTTTCTGAGTTTTAAACAGAAAAAGCCTCAAAATGACTTATTCAGTGGGTTTCTTCCTTAAGAAAACAGTGTCCACACCCGTCGTCCACTTCCGTTTTCGGATATGTCTGTAAAATCCTTTTAAAAAAAATCATATTTCTGATGCATGTGCTCAATTTTACCTGAAAGAAAATGCACAAGTTCATGACGACACAATAAGCATTTAAGAGGTGTAATTCAGTTACTCCATGGAATTCCTATTTCAGGAGGGATAAAATTTTATTATTTGAATTACTTCCATATTTTAGAAACCGTATTTTTGTATCATATTTGCCCCAATTATTACACAGTAACCCCTCCCTTTCAATTTTCCCGTCTTAAAGAGATTAAAAATAACAAGAAAGGCGACAGCATATTTTTGACGATGTTTAGGATCTTATTTTGAATCACTTCAGATCTCTAACTTCTCACAGACCTTTTTTTTTCTTTGCGTGAAAAAAGAAATCCGTAATGATCATTATAGGAGTCTTATTGTGCAATTAACCTTAAAATACCCTCAGAACTAGATGAAATCAAAGTATACGCTTGATATGAAACCTCTAGTGCAGACGTGGCTAAAACAGGTTAAAGACTGTTCTTTCATCTTTTTTTATGTTCGACCTACACTTGCTTTTTGCTTACTTTACACTGTCTGGCTCTTTCTGAAAAGTTGCAATTTTCAAATGCAAATCAGTATATATACTCGTATATTTAGCCCCTAAATAAGTAAATTATAATTATATTGTTCGAATCCTAGTTAGATATCAAATATCGAGAACACCTCAAAAAAGAAAGAATGGCTCAATTATTAACCCATCTTAATTATGAAGTCGAAAATATTACGTAAAACATAATGAACTTCATTGCTTATTTTACCAGATCACACCATTCAGCAGAATTGACGCTTGACAAATATCAAATTTAGCTACTGTAAAATCATATTTTTGTGAGGTCAAATTTTCGTGGTTTGAAGAAAATCTCTTGGTTTGTGGGTATTTGATTTCGTGGATAAAGAATTGTTGAGTATACTAGTTGTTTTTTTCTGTAATATTTTACATTTCGTGAAGGACATGAATTCGTGGGTCTCTTCATACCTAGAAAACAACAAAAATTAAACCCCAAGAAAATTTGTGATTACACAGTATCTGCTCTCAATAATAAACATTGGTTCTGGGAGAACAAAACGAATTACGAAGACAACAAATCATAATCATGCTAGAAGTCCATTGAATCAGTTAAAATAATGAAGCAGAGCACATAAGGACCTCTACAACATCAGAGTAGGGATCAGATGCCACGGAGTAGAAACCATCATCTGTTGACTGATCATACCCGCCGTATTCTCATGAATGAATAAACGGGGAAGTCCAGAGAAAATTGCAATGAACACAGAAATTGTGAGATGTCGACTTTAATCAAGATTGTTGACATTTTTATACCATCGACTCATTTTTCAATAGCTTGCACATTTAAGATTTTTTTCGCACGTATAACAGACAGTGTATTGAATCACTGGGAATCATAAACATTTGTATATCCAAGTTGCCACGTTCATGTAACTAAAAGTACTATCGCCTACAAACTTGATTTTAACTGCAGGCAACAATTCAAGATTCAGGAGAAAATACTCCTTTAAACTCCCTAATATTAAAAAATATTGTACACCTATATATCATAACATAGTTTATTGTGTATATTTAAAGTGCAACTTTTCCTATACTGAACATTATCGAAAACTGTCAGCATAAGTTCTAGCTTAAATAAATTTTAGAACCATCTTTATTTATACGTTGAATATGAGCATTATTCAAATTTGAAAAGGAGATTACTTTCGACGTCCTTGATTTGAAAAAAAAAGTAGGTAGACACAATTCTTCAATTATAAAGACAACCATAAATAATACAAAAAAGGAATGTCTGGACATTAAGACATTTCTTTCCTTTGATTTTTAGAATCTATACCAATATTGTTCTCTAAGCTATAAATTGAGCCCTATCGAGAGTCGTATTTTTTTTAATACAACATGATATATCTTTTTAACATCTTTGAAATACTGATCTCTTTGCATTCTAGACAGATATTGGAAATACAGTGCCATCATGAACTTTTATCTTTTCTGATATATTATTCATTTGGTTAGCAAATTTATTTCAAAGGTTTTTTTTTTTTCAAAACAATGTTAAACATCCATGAGGTAACACTTTAATCATTTTTTCTCATGACGTCCTGTTTACAAAGATATGTTTTAATTTTAAAATTCATTAGAAGTATGACTATATTTAATGTGTATTTCGTAAGTTTTTTAAGTCACAATGAAAGTTTTATATAAATACGCATTTGTTCCTGCATAAAACATTTGTAGCGCGACAGATATATAATATGTTAAATAAAATTATATAGCTTTGATTTATATGTTACAAAACGCATATATCTTAGCATTAGTTAAAATTGTTTTGTTATACAATACCATTATGTAATAAAAAGTGTTTTGGTGATTCAGTAGTGAGGATACATTGATTATACAGTTTGTTTGTTCACTAAATGACAATGCTACCTCATGCAAACATACCGTTAACGATACGAACGACGAGAGAAGTCCTATTATGGATAAATTCTAAGGTGGCTCAGTTTGACACAAGAAAACAAAACTAAATGTTAAGGAAATGGAATGGTCATTTATTCAATCAACTAATGAATGACATTATTACACCAAGAAAAAAAAACATATAAAAAGTTAAAGATACAACAAACTACATGTAAAAGCACGATATCATACTTCAACAGAGGGAGTTGTGTCTTGTTAAATATTCCAAAAATGCCACAACCTTAAAAGTAGAATGCAAAAAGACATACACACAGTATTTAGACTAGAATAAACCTCCCGTGCCCATTGATCATGCCCAAAGACAACAACCGTAAGCTCATTTAACTAACTAAGATTCCCAAATCTAATTTTTAACGTCTGTCTATGTGTACCTGAAAAAAAAAAACGCACATTATTTTATTTTATTTTACATGGTTGAATGTAAAGAACCCCTACTTAGGTCATAAAATGTCTAGAGCTTATCTTCATGGAAAATTGAAATACATGTATTTGTTTCATATTCGTATATGTCACCAGAAAAAAGACGTTAATGGTTCCCTAACAACAAAGCCTTATGATACACGTGATCACTTCAACATTGAAACAATCGTCAACTTTTTACGCAGCAGTATACCCTTTATACTTGCATACTTGGTTTATATATATCCCATATATATTATATATCTCAGTTGATTCGATACGCAAGCATGCTCTACGTACGAAGAATTATCTAAACGATTTAAGTTATTGAAAAACAAGTTGATGGAACAAGAATATCAGCATTTTAGAGTTATCATTTCGTAAGTTCTGTGGTCAATTCAATGATCTTGTCAGCTGACAATCTATCAAGTCAAATGCTGACTAGCATTTTTCATACTCGTTGTTAGGCCATTACTTATACACTGAGTTGTCTACGGATTTATGACTTCACCTTGACTTAAATCTTAACATGTAATTAATCTAGAAATTGTAACACAAAATACAAATTGAAAGTTATTTTTTAAAATTATTCTATAAATATTGAAAATAATATTTTTAAATATATATATAATAGTCATAGAATATAAGCCTAAACAACTCTTATCTATTCTCTTTAATTTTCAGACATTGACAAGATTCTTAGGAACTTTTGATAAAGTTGGATTAGCTGTAAGTGGTATTATGAAATCCTTTTCCTGGCATCGAATTGGAATAATTGCTCAAATGCATACGGACAAGATCTGGATATACACAAGAGATGCCATTGAAAGCATGGCGTCAGCTGATGGAATGAATGTTGCCATTTCTAAAACCATAAACGAAACCGACGACCTATATAAAACATTAGAGCAAGTTGCATTAACATCTAGAAGTGAGAATATTAGCTAATTAATATACTAAAATGCTGGAAACATTTACATGTACTTTTAAAATATCATGACAGAGTTCTGATATTTGATTTTCAATTTTAAATCAAATATAATTCAGATTTTCATTTGTCTCAATTCATAACATCTATCTAAAAATGAAAATAAATTTATTTACGTTTTAAAAATATTACAATTATTTTAAATTTTGTAGAGAACAAAACTTTAGAAAATGAATGATCGTTGCCAAAAACTGCGCACTATGCGATGTCCAGGATTCTGTGTTTCCTAAATTGTGATTATTTTCTTTTACTTTCAGTTATTGTATTGGCGGTTAGAGGGGAGACACTGCGGAAAATAATGATCCACGCTTATGATATGGGTCTGATAAAGCAGAAATACATGTTTATCTGTGTATACTATTACTTCCATAAGAACACATTTGGCGACATTTCTTGGAAACAGGTTGGTATTTGTGTTGGTTCCATTGATAAGTTAAAATTAAAGACTTTTTGCAAGAGAATAAAATTTGGTATTCATGAGTATATTTGCAAGAGATGAAAGAGCGAAAGTTAATTTTTCGCTAAAGCGCTAATATAGATACTCAGTCAAACATAAATATGATTACAGTCTTTTGTTGGTGTTGAACTTCTTAATGTGTAATTTATTAATTAAGAACTGTTGAAATACTTTCAGAATGATACTGATGATGAAAAGGCTAAAAATGCTTACCAGTCAATAATGTTTATCTCGTATTTTACACCAAATACGAACGATTACAGGAACTTTACTGAAAGAGTTAGAATGAAGTCACTAGAATTGTTTAATTACACGTACAAAGCTGATGAAGAGGTGAGTGGAATGTGCTGCCATGTTGAATTTCTTTTTTCATCCTGAAGTAATTACAAAAAAAAAGTTTGTATGCATATTCCACAGCAAGGGAAAATGCTGAATTGTATTCTAAATATAAAAAATGATATTAATTTAACTGACATTTTATTGTCAAAATTAAGGTTCCGTATCCAGCCTCCAATCTTTATGAAGCCATGTACACGTATGCTATATCTGTCAACATGACATCAACAGAGGGAAAGGATTCGTCTGATGGCCAACTGATTGCCTCAAGAATATGGGGGAATACGTTTACAAGTAAGCCCGATGTTATAATAAAGCATCTTAGAGGTTAAACAACATGTAAACCAATGACTTACATGATGGATGGTTGACCAGGCACTGTCACGTACTTTTCAGTGATTAAATTTTATTTCGTTCGTTATACTTACCAGTCATAAATATACATTAGGATATCTTCCCCTTATTAACGTTCATAACTCGCGGGCAAGCGTTAAAAAGAATAAGATTCAAACACTTATAAGACCGAGATCACATCTCAGGTGCTTGCCCAAATCAGTTCATCTTCCGGCGTGCAACAGAACGTTCATATTTTTTTTGGCAGAGATTTCTCAGCCACGGAGTGATACAAATACTTTGTATTTGTATAAGGTATTGGTATAGATACTCTCTTATGCTCTTAGTTTAAGTATGGAAGAAGCCAGTTTTATTTCGAACGACGAATTAAATTCGGGCTCGGAATTCCAGAATTTACAGTCAGTAATGGAGGCCAAAGGAAAAAAACCGCGGTCCGGTAGGAAATCCTCCAGCAAAGCTAACGAGAAAATGGAACAATTAGAAAACAGAGTCAACGAAAGGTTAGACACTATGATGAATTTTTTAAGAGAAAGTATTCAAACTTTGTCCAGCAGTGTTTTAGAGAATACAGCTTCTCATAATGTACACGAGACAAACGTGTCTCATAATTCGTTAGCGGAAGGATACCGGTGGTTTATCCACGCGGAGACCTGAGCCCATGGTATCAAATGTAGACGATTCATCTGGAATGCGTCCGATTATACCTTTGGAAAGTGAAGTCCAAATTGAAGGGACATTAAGTGTGCCTGAAATGGACGATATGATATCATTAGCTCCAAGTGTCAGAGAAGTACGTGAGCTATTGGGTGATATCCTCAGTTCAAGAGGAATCTATTACTGCCCATGATTTTGATAACAATCAACATAAGTTGGACAGCAACAACAACAATAGATTTCAGAACTTGATCAATAAAAGTGACGAGCATACAAAAACTCTAACTGATATTTTTGGCAATGTTTCGTCTTCAGAGGAAGAAAAAACTGGATTAGTTTTAGACAAAACACAAGAGGAGATCTTGAAAAAGTCATGGAGAATTACTGATCCTGAACGCTTGTCTGCTTATAGAGATGAATATAGACAATGTTTCCCTGTTCATCCAAACTCGGCAGCATTTCTACAAGTTCCAGGGCTAGATGACATTTTAGAACCAATGTTAAGAAAAAAACACGGAAATAAAACCAAAGGTTGGGGGAAAAGTAAACATTTAATTTCCCAGCCGTACAAAAGTATTGAAACTTTGGCATATCAGGGACAGATAGCTGCCCGTATGGGTATTATTTCATTAAGCTACATGCAGCAAGCTTTAGGAACGTTGTTAGATTCTATAACTTGTCAAGATGCGGACACAGTTCAAGCAATTAAAGACATTTTCTCCATGTCTACCAAGGCACTAGATCAAATGGGGAGAAGGGGCTTTTCACCATCTTATAAGAAGGAAAACTGCAGCACAAGACTCTGGATTATATACCTTGAAGGATATTCATAGCAAAATTATTTGCCTGCCTCTTTCAGAAGATGGCGTCTTTGGCAAGAAATTAGAAGAGAAACTAAATGAAAGGAAAGAGCAGAAAGATTCTCTTAAGGATTTAATTCCAGAATGGAATGAAAAAAATCAGAAACGCAAATTTTCAGAAAATTCTGCTGAAAACTCTGGAAATTTTAAAAAACCCAGAACTACTACTGTGTTGAATAACAGTTACAGAACAGCTACTCAGAGACCCAATTACTCAAGACGGTCTTATGACTACAAACCAAGAGAGGACAATTCGAGAAATACGTCTACATCTGCTACAGTAGACAGAATTGGCTCCTTTCGGATCCCAAAGAAATCTAATAAATGACTAGAGATTAGAACAGGTAACCAAAATTGCAATGCTTCCCGAGATACCAGTTGGGGGTCGTCTCAAACTTTTTGTAGAAAACTGGAATCTTGTAACTCAAGACAGTTGGGTATTATCAATAATCAACGAGGGTTACAAACTAGAATTTCTTCAAAAACCCCAGTTTTTAGGGGTAAAGAAAACAACAATCCCTCAAATACAAAAACATTGTTTGTTAAAAGAGGTAGAAGATTTATTAGAAAAAAATGCAATAGAACCTGTCTCAAATCAGGAGAGTCAAACAGGTTTTTACAGTACATTTTTCCTTGTCCCCAAAAAGGGTGGCAAAATGAGACCCATCATAAATTTGAGACCCCTCAACCAGTATCTCAAGAAGCAACATTTCAAAATGGACACTTTAAACAAAGTGTTAAATCTAGTGAAACCAAACGATTGGGCAATTTCAATCGATTTAACAGATGCATATCTACACATTCCAATATTTTCAAAACATCGAAAATTTCTAAGATTTTGTGTAGAAAACCAGTGTTATCAATGGAAAACAATGTGTTTCGGCCCAACATCAGCACCTCGAGTTTTCACCAAAATGGTGTCTGTAGTAGCAGCATATTTGAGAACACACAATATTCGTCTAGTAGTTTACCTAGACGATTGGTTAATAGTAAACCAATCAAGAGAAATGTTATATCAAGATCGACAGAAGTGCCTAAATCTATTGGTTTCACTAGGTTTCATAATAAACAAAGAGAAGTCTTGTCTAGAACCCACTCAGGAAATTGTATACCTGGGAGCTTTGTTTTTATTCAGACAAAAAATAGTACTTCCATCTCAAGACAGATTGATAAAATTGGTACAATCAACCAAAATGTTAATGCAGGGTCAGAAAACAGCCAAAGATTTTCTACAATGGTTGGGAATAGTAGCCTCATGCATAGATCTTATTCCAAATGCTCGTCTTTACATGAGACCTGCTCAGTTACATCTACTAAGTTTTTGGAAACCAAGCTCTCTAGATTTGGAGAAAATAGTCCCTATTACACCACATCTAATACAACACCTACAATGGTGGTTATATTCAGTGAACATTTCCAGGGGCAGATCTTTGCAACTGGAAGAAATTGGGGTGACCATAACCACAGATGCATCCTTGACAGGGTGGGGGGGTCACCTAAACAATCAAATAGTTCAAGGACATTGGGACAGTTGTCACAAAGGTCTTCATATCAATTGTCTAGAGATGGAAGCAGTGTTTTTAACTCTGAAACATTTTCAAAAACAAGTACAAAACAGAACAGTTTTGATCAGATGCGACAATACGACAGTGGTTCAATACATCAACAAACAGGGAGGAACCAAATCTCCACGTCTTTGTTATCAGACATGGGATTTGTGGAACTGGGCAATAGGTCACAATATCAAGTTGAAAGCTGCTCACATAGCAGGAAAATCAAATATTCTGGCAGACCATTTGAGCAGGGTCAAGATCAGACAAACAGAATGGATGTTGAACAGACAAATTGTTCAGAGAATTTTTCTATTATGGGGTCAACCTCTGATAGACATGTTTGCATCTATTCACAATCGTCAAACGCAGATCTTTTGCACTTGGTTTCCTCACAGCCAAGCATATGCATTGGATGCCCTGACGATATCTTGGGAGGGGATGTTTCTGTATGCTTACCCTCCGATTTGTCTAATTCCCAAAGTTCTTCAGTACATCAGACAGTTCAATTGTCAAGTAATTCTGATAGCTCCCTGTTGGCCACGGAGACCTTGGTACACAGATCTACTTCAGCTTTTAATCTCAATACCAAAAAGACTTCCAAATATTCCAAATTTACTTCAACAACCAAACACAAAAATTTATCATCCAAATCCAGAAGTATTTCAACTAACTGCATGGCTTCTATCGACAGAGGTTTCAAAAAGAAAGGGTTTTCTAAAGACACTAGAACCCTTTTGGCAGCAAGTTGGCGAACAGGAACACAAAAAGATTATTCCTGTAAATTCAAACAATTCAGTAGCTGGTGTAGTTCAAGGGAAATTGATCCCTATTCAGCCTCTTTAGTTGAAGTAGCAAGTTTTTTGACAGATAAGTATACCAAAGGTCTTCAGTATAGAACTATTGCAGGTTACAGGTCAATGCTGTCCTCAGTACTACCTCCAGTAGATAATGTTTCTGTAGGACAACATCCTTACATTATCAGACTCATCAAAGGAGTCTTTAATTCCAGACCACCAAAAGTTAGACTAGTCCCAGAGTGGGATTTACCAAGGGTTCTTGATATGTTGCAAGTTGCTCCTTTTGAACCTATAAAAAATGCATCATTGAAACATTTGACGTACAAAACTATTTTTCTGATAGCTATTACTACTTTCAGGAGATGCAGTGATCTACAATCTCTCAGACTGGGGGAAGGATTTGTCAATGTTCAGAAAAAAGGAGTAACTTTCATCAGAGAAGGTTTGGCGAAGCAAGATAGACCCAACCATTTTGGAGCAAAAATATTTGTTCCCACATTTTCAGAAAACAAGTTACTGGATCCAAAAAGATCTTTGTTTTTCTATTTGAAGAAAACAGAAACTCATAGAAAAAAACTGAAAACAGATTGCAATAAATTATTTCTGAGTTTACTTGAGCCACATCAAGCTGTGACATCTCAGACCATTTCAAAATGGATTGTTCAAACTATACATATGGCTTACGAAAACAAACAAAAATCTAAAGTGAAAGGACATAGTACAAGAGCAATAGGTCCTTCTTGGGCTTTATTTAATGGTGCATCAATAAAGTCAATTTTAGATTTTGCAGATTGGAGCCAAGAATCTACTTTTTGCAATTTCTATCTGAGAGATGTAGATGACAGCGTACCAGTTCTAAAATGTTCTGTAAATAATTAATTATTTCAATATTTGTTTACTGTGTAAATAGACTTTGTTGTTAGAGATGTGATCATCTTCGGCGAGTTGCATTTGAGAACATTTGTTGTATATAGTTTCCAATCACTCAATATGTGTACATAGTATTTGGTGGACGGCATAACTAATGACAGATGAAAACTGCTGTTCTTGAAATTTTATTTTTTGAGGTAAGAAAATTTTTCTTTTCCTCCATCCATTTCAGATTGCTTTTGAATCTGATTTATCCTAATGTATATTTATGACTGGTAAGTATAAAACGAAATAAAATTGGAAAATTTGTTGTCAAGTTTCAATTTTATGAGTGAGTTATACTTACCAGTCAACTTTCCCACCTTCCACCCCTAAGAAAAATTTATTTTTGGAAGGTGTATTTTCATGTAGGTTGGGAACGTTCTGTTGCCCGCCTATATGAACTGATTTGGGCAAGCACCTGAGATGTGATCTCGGTCTTATAAGTGTTTGAATCTTATTCTTTTTAACGCTTGCCCGCGAGTTATGAACGTTAATAAGGGGAAGATATCCTAATGTATATTTATGACTGGTAAGTATAACTCACTCATAAAATTGAAACTTGATAACAAATTTTCCAATTTGATCGTTACAAAAAAAAATCACCAGTAAAAGACACTCTTTTTGACAAAAACCTGTTACTTCTAGCAATTTTCATAAAATGCCAGTGAAAATTATAAAAGTTAAGATTGTTAAATTTACCTCGTGTTTACAGTGTATATATTTCGAAAACTTTTTCAAACATGCACTGTTTTCAATGATTTTTTTTTCCCGAGGGTTAGTTAAACTCTGTAGTTTGGTCAACATTTCCGTGGGTCACAAAGTGGGTTGGCGGATTTGATTCACGGCACATTTTGCTTGTCTATGCTGTAAATTATATAAATTACCACGTGTAATTTTTACGAATTTTTCATTTAATTCTTAGGCGTTACGGGGAATATTTCTCTCAATGCAAATGGCGACAGACAACAGGGCTACAAGATAGAACAGATCCAAACTACATCCGACTTTCAGTTAATGGCAAGTAGAATGATCTTTTTAATAAATTAATAAAGTCTGCAAGTTTCCATGACAATTCCGACCTTTTGGAGTTGTTGCTCCGTAACAGCATGCAACTATAATGTACTCATTTTTCTAAGAAAAGCACTCGCACTAGCTTTTCCACCAAAATATTTTGATCACAGAGAAGTAATGCATATAACACAAGCAATTGTTGGGTCAAAATATTTTTGCTAACTGTCCAATTTTCGTCGTTATGGTGCTTTTCATATGCGATTAAATCTATTGTAAGTATAAGCTCATCATATAGAGTAGTTTTAAACAAGTTCTTTGATTTTTCAACAACAAAGTTACCTTGCAATTGAACATTGATCATTTTGATTCTACACACAAATTATGACAAATACAATGAAGTTGATATTTTTAAAAAACATGCTGGAATTGACAAAATATATGTAATCTTTGGAGACCAGGTTTTTCAACAGACAGTTGGATTGTACTCCTATAATAACAGCCTGCTTTCCTACAAACTTCCACAGAGAAAGAAGAAAACACTGCTATCAAATTAAAGTCACCAAAGTCTAACATATCTTTTATAGCTGATTTCTTTTGGAATCGGGTCAACTTTCCACTGTATGGCACAGTTGACAATGAGACAGTCGTCAAACTTGTGCTACTTGATGTGATTCTTTGTATAAAATATGAAGCTATTGGCTTCATTAAGTATATTAACAAAGCGTGTTTCTTGATCAAGATGAAGGATGACCAAGTTCTTAATGCACTGAATCACACAGCTGTCCTTGTAGTAGTTACCCCATATCATACTGTTGGTTATGTGTAGATACCCGAATAATGACACGAGGGAGCGTAGCTCCCGAGTTGTCTTTATGACCACGCCCATCGGGTATCTACACATAATCAACAGTGTGATATGGGGTAAATGACTTGTACCATAGTTTTCAAAAATCATGTAAGTCAGCTTAGGAATCGGTCGGACTGGTTCGTGTGATTGAAACATTAAGTGTTTTGTTTCAAAGATGTATTTGGATTTTATATGATTTTAAGCTTCTTCGTGTCCTTCTGACCACGTCCATCGAATATAGGGTAAGTGATTTGTATACACTACTTTCTAAATTTTGCTACAAGTTTTGCCCTATACTCGGCATTCAGGGTCATTGAACAGTGAGGGATCTTCATGTCAACACCTTCTGCGACACGGTACCTCTGTTTATACTTTATAGGTCTCCACGTCCCACAGTGGGATTCAACTCCTTATTTCTTGGCTCTAAGGCAGGTGCTTTAACCTCTGGGCCACGAAAGCGACATAAAAATTCAACATATCTAGGCCCGTTTAAAAAGTTTGATTTATGTAATTGAAAAAATAACGAATTTAGTTTCAATGATATATGTTAATTTGATATGATTTTTTTTCTCTCGTAAATTTCAATCGTCAAAATTACATACTACATGTAGTAATTTAAATTTATTATGAACTTGGTTTAACTTAAATTTTTGTAAACCTGATACAAACTTTGCCGTGCACAGTGGTACGTTGATTGAAATGTTTGTTAGGGGTTATGTATATTTCATTTTAATGAAAATTAGATCCGCAATCGAAAATGTTATTCAAGTACAGTAGTGTACACTTGCTTTTTTGTTGGTTATCAAACGAACAATATATTAGAATCTACTTAGCTAACGTCACCCTGGTCATTACACTATTTAAAAAAATGTTTAAAAAATCAAGCGATTTCTGAAGTTTTTTCTTCACTTTTAACTAAAGTATGTAAAGTATTAATGGCCGTTTTTAACTGTTATTTATTACAAAATGCTGTATACAATTGAAAATTTTTACTCCTTTTTACTCTCCTAAATTTGTTATAACAAGCCCGTATGATTGCTTCATTTAAAAACCGTGCATGATCGTTTTATAAATAGTTCTTTTGTCCCGACTCGATGGGCGGAGTTATAGAAAAGTGTGGGTTATGTACAGAAAACCCACACTTTTAACAAAAGAAATCACAACTAACTATGGTACAATTGCTACTGGTATATCCGTTTTCCTCCTTCTTCGTGCACTATAGATTTGAACATTTTTAGTTTATTCTCTGGAATGAATGATTTATTCCAACCAATTCTTAAGATTAAATATATATGAATATAGAAAAAAAGGCGACAGATTTGATTGATAAATCTTTAAAGCATAGACACTTTTTACTTCTGGAATTTTCCTTTTTCGAGTCCAAAAGTAAGAATTTAAACTATTGGCATGATTGTATTTAGCAATGAAGTTGGTCGAAGCTCGTTTTTTCACCAATTGGTATTTCATTACCAAATACATGCACATGAAATTCTTAGCCCTCCGTGTTCATGATACACTGCCAAGTACAAGCTAAATTTGTCGTACATTGAAATCATGCACGAAATGGAAAAACAAGACTATATGATTGAACAAGAGATGATTGTGAAACACTTATGCCCCCCTCCCCCTAAATTGGAATTTTTCCAAGTCCAAAAGCGCATAACTCTGTCAAAAATGGTGGGATTGTACCCAAAACAGAACTTGACCAAGATTATTATCTGATAAATCTGTATACCAAATATCATTTCAGTATGTGCAACCTCGGCAAAGAAAATGAAAGGAAACTGCAAATAATTGGAATTTTTTCTAAGTCCAAGGGGCATAACTCTATCAAAAATGGCGCAATCATACCAAAAACAGAACTTGACCTAGATACTCATCTGATAAATCTGTACCCTAAAGTTCATTACAGAATGTACAACGGTTGCGAAGAAAATGAACGGAAACTGCAAATAATTGAAGTTTTTCTAAGTCCAAGGTGCATAACTGTCAAAAATGAGGCGATCGTACCTAAAACAGAACTTGACCTATAGATATTTATCTGATATATCTGTATACCAAATTTTATTTCAGTATGTACAACCGTTGCGAAGAAAATGAACGGAAACTGCAAATAATTGAAATTTTTCTAAGTCCAAGGGGCATAACTCTGTCAAAAAGGGTGCGACCGTACCCAAAACTGAACTTGACCTAGATATTCATGTGATATATCTGTATACCAAATTTCATTTCAGCATGTTAAACGGTTGCAAATAAAATGAACGGAAACTAAGTGGACCGACAGACAGACCGCCGACCGACCGACAGACAGCAGCAAAGCAATATGCCCTCCCTTCTTCGAAGGTGGGGGGCATAAATACAGATATGATTTTAATTATGAAAGTTCCTTGATCTGAACTAATGTCTTTGACTCCACTCAATGAAAATAAATGAATCACGTGTGAAACGAATCAAGTCATCCAACTGATTCTAAACAATAAAGGCATGTTTTTATTACACTCATTGACAATTTTAAATTGACGAAGTTTTGTGCTATGGTTGATATACAGACCTTGCTCTGAAAAACAACCCAGTGATGCATCTTATTTTGCTTGAACTGTTTTCTATGAGAGTTGTATTTCCTAGGTCATTGCTTTTATGTTGAAATTGATTATGGAGTTTACTTGATCAATGCTCATGACTTAATGCATTTGTAAATGGTCAACAGGGGATGCTCACTCATCTTAGGCACCTGAGCTTTTCTCTAGTTTTCCAGGGATCCGTGTATTGCCATGTTCATGTTTTTTTGTCTGCTGTCTCAATTAGATTGATCACTTGATTAAACAAACAAGACGCATTGTTTATAAAAATAAGAAAATCAATCTTTAAATCTATAATCCAAAATATATGAAAACTTCACATTTTTAATTTAACAATATTGATTTTCATCAACAAAAACAAAACTAGATTCAAATAGAAAATAGTTTGCTTACTGTTTTCAGAGATGGATATATGATGACTTACCATGACTTTAAGAAAATTTTAAAAATGAAGAGAAATATCTTTTTTTTTAATCTCAGCATAATCTCGGTATAAATGAAATATTAATCACTGACATACATATTTATTTCAATTCGAAATTATGATAAAGGGTAGCTTTTAAAATCAGAATGTCACATTGTTTTTCTGTGCTTGTACCAAAATGCATCCATCTACAAAAGTTATCTTAACATCTACAGGATTTAAATTTCTTGAAAGATATTAAATAAAAAAATACCGGTAATTAATTATGAATATTTTACATCTTATACTCGTACTAGTATATGGTTATTTCCTGTGACAAAAAAACTTCTGTCTCAATTTTAATGGTTTAAAAGGAACTGAGTACAAATGCTTTACATACACGTATGTATCAAATTATTTTGGTTAAGAAAATAGGAATTTAATATTGTAATGAAATTCATATTAGATTGAATTAACTATGTAATCGTTAACTTTGACCCCTTACTTTTGAACTGTTAGTACTTAGACTTTCGTATGTCACAGGTTATTTCCCTGTGACATTACCATCCTTTGGAAACCAATAATTTTGACCTTGACCTTAGAGTTTGTTCCACTTAAAAAAAAATTAACCTTGGCCAAAACTTTTCAACCGTTAAAGAGAAGAACCTCCTTTGGATACCAACAATTTTGACCTTGGATCTTAATTTGCTTTTGAGAAATTTCAACCCTCGCCATTGGATGAGGTATCAGTGCTTCACAAACACATCTTGTATTTTATAAGTTTGTACTTTTCAACCTCTTTGTTCGTAAGCGAATTCTAAAAATGGTCTTAACGTAAATAAGATTGTCGAACTGTAAAATGTAATTTAATAATCCAATTGATCCATAATTTACTTCTTTCTTGGTTCCTGTTGTCGTAATTTTCTATTGAATGTTGTCCTTTTGTTTCAGACTGTTGGCTATTTCTTTACTGAAAATGGTGTTTTTCGAGAAGACCCTCTCCATAAAATACAGTGGCCCGATGGACTGGAGCCACCTTTAGACACACCGCACTGTGGATTCCTGGGAGAATATTGTGATCACCGTATGTAAACCGATATTTAAAATTTTGTACAATTAAGATAAAAAAGATGTTATACAGAGCAATGGACACAGAAATAAATTTAAAGTCAAAGGTATGATTTGTACGCTCCTTGTTCTAAAAAATTTTTACTTTCACGCTTTGGTGACATTGTCCATTGCGTAGCTTTTGAAGTACAGTGTAGATACTTGCTGCCAAACAAGACTGGCTGGCAACCGATGAGCAGTGACACTTAATGGACAGAAAGCGAATAGGAACGGATCGGTTTATGTATAATAGGGCAGATTCCATTGTTTCAGTCTCGTTGAAAAGGACAGTAAGGAAGCTTGAGGACAAAAAGAACAGTACAGCAGTACCCGGAGAGTGCCCAGTGAGGGAGAGGGTGAGAGGCTCAAATTGACAAATCATCGTACAGTCTATATGATAAGAAAAAAAACTGCAGCTGACATTATATTGGTGTAACATAACTTTGCAAGACATCAGAGGACTGAAGAAATACCGGGCAAAATACCAACATTGTAATCTTCTGACCCAAGCATAGTGCAAACAACCTTCTAGTATTTTGTAAGCACTAGAAGATCCTAGAAAGTAGTGCCACAACGGCAGATTCAAGAATAAAGCCATAATAGCAAATCCGAGAGTAGTGTCACAATGGCAGACTCGAGAGTAGAACCAAAATGGCAGACTCGAGAGTACAGCCACAGTGGCGGACTCGAGAGTAGAACCAGAATAGCAGACTCGAGAGTGTAGCCACAATGGCGAATTGAGACTAGAACCACAATGGCAGAATTGAGAGTTGAACCACAATGGCAGACTTCAGAAAAGAGTAACAATGGCAGACGCCAGAGTAGTGCCACAATGGCGGACCGTGAGAGTAGAGTACATGTTTTCTGTTCGGGTTACAGCCCAGAATATTGCTTGACTCTAAATCAAAAAAAAAAAACGATGCAGAAAGGTTTCCATACACTTCATCTATACCACTCCTCATGTACAACAAGAGATGTTTGTAAAACACTTATGTCCCCCCTCATTGGAATTTTTCAAAGTCCAAAAGGGCATAACTCTGTCAAAAATGGCGCGATCATATCCAAAACAGAAGCTGACCTACATAGTCATCTGATAAATCTGTATTCTAAATTTCATTTCAGTATGTGCAACCTCTGCGAAGAAAATGAACGGAAACTGCAAATAATTGGAATTTTTCTAAGTCCAAGGGGCATAACACTGTCAAAAATGGTGCGACCTACCAAAAACAGAACTTGACCTAGATATTTATCTGATATATCTGTATATCAAATTTATTTCAGTATGTGCAACGGCTGTGAAGAAAATGAACGGAAACTAAGTGGACCGAAAGACAGACAGACAGACAGACCGACCGACCGACAGACAGCAGCAGCAAAGCAATATGCCCTCCCTTCTTCGAAGAGGGGCATAAAAATCATTTTCTAAAAATTGTTTTCTTCAGGTTTGCTTGATTGTTTTAATTTAATAAAATACACATTTTCCATTCTCACAGACCTGGAGAAGATGAATACTTTAGAAATCGTGGTGGGAGCCCTGGGCAGTATTCTGGCAGTGGTTGTCATCCTCAGCATCGTCATCCCAAGATTTGTAGTAACGTACGGTTATCCAATATTAATTTAAGTGGGAAAAGCACAGATTACTTGTAATGGATACAATTATTTTGATTATAACAAAAGATAATTTGATTATTTAAAGCAAATTTTGGGTATGCTTTAGTTATACCTCTTCTTTGAGAAGCAATTTCTTATTTAAAGAATCGAGAAGAAATTCTTACACAGTTCCACTTTAGATTTCAGTTGCAGTTTTGAAAGTATGCTTCGAAAGAATGTTTTGAAACTATAGCTTGATTTATATCTTTCTTTTTGAAGTAAATACAGCAAAAGAAAAGGTATATTTTAATTTAAAGAATATTGGATGTAGTCGTGATGGAAAAATAAAGATACACTCATGTTCTTTAATTTGTCGGCTTTTTTTCTTTACACAAGACGAATGAAAAGAAAAGCTAGTGAGAGTGTCTGGAGAATTAAAGAAAGCGATATACTTCCCACCAAAAAATCGGCGTTTTCAATGTCAAAGGTAGGAGTATATTAAATTGATTTATTAAATGTTGTTTTGCGTTCTCATTCGAGAATTCGAAAAGTATATGTTGGTTTACTTTTCAAAAACAAAATGTCTGGTTTATCGATCCTGACGGTTGAATAACTGACTAATGATGTAATTTTGTGGTTGTGTTTGTTGGAATTTAAATTATATGAAGATAGACAGATATATTATTAAAATGTTAGCATGATAATTGAGAGAAACGTGCAAATGACATTTAAGTTAAGAACTTATTGCAAAAATAACTGTCGTCTGACATTAGACGGCTTGTTTTTATCAAACACATGTAATTATAAACATGAAACATCAGCCTTCTTATCAAATATTATTAAATAACAAGAAAAATGTGCATTTAAAAATACTAAAAAAAAAAAACATTGTGGAGAAATCATTTTATGACATGTTATTTATCTAAATGTGAATGTAAAGCACAAAATTAAAATATTTTCTCAAAGTATCGGATTTTAACATAAATATATACATTGATAAAATAAAATAGAATTTTATTACTTATTACATCTTCTTAATTAATTTAATAAATCTAAGGAAGTTCAGGTTATGAGTGGCATTGTTAATAACTTTGTGTGGACACTCTTTTCGGACAATAGATTTTTAGATCACCTGAATCACTATCACGTGTCCTATTACTATCCGTTTTTTTCTGTCGCCGTGCGTGTACATTTGAACATTTTCAATTTCTTTTCTGGAACAGCTTTAGTTTGTCAATGTCAGTCAATTTTGGCATAAAGCATATATTGGTAAAGGGATGGGGTAGGGTTCGGGGTGAATTTTACAGTCCCTGTCCATGGAGCCTGGGAGTGGGGCTTAAACGACCAAAATTATTGAAGATATTAAAAAGCTTCTATACTCCTGGACATTAAACAATAAACCAATGGCATGGTTGTAATAAGCATTTAGCCCCGCTACCAAAATTGTGAAATTCATGGTCCTAAGTTAAATGGTTCTAATATTGGACTCTATTGATTACATAGTGAAATGCATACCTTCTTTCAAAATTTTTATTCTCTGCTCCTGGGTATTATCTAAATAAACTTAGTGCATGGTTTAGATGAACAAGGGAGTTTCTATCAAAATTGTGATCTTCATGGCCCTAGGGTCAGTGGTTCTAGTGAGGGGATGCTCCACTGATTAGAGCAGATTTCAAAACCCCTAAAGGATTACATTGTTTGTGACGAGCTGACGCTTTGCTTGTCGAGAACTTTAAATACTACGTCACATTCTCGCCACATCAAAGGAAGTAGCCGAGATCGCGTCTCTCCCACGCTAAAGTCGGTCAGCTGCAACATACAGCTTGTTTTCGGGGTTCAAAAAATGGAGTAGACAGTCCCGATGTCGTTTTCTTGAATGTAACCTGCAAAGTTAAAAGTTTTTTTTAACCTTGAATTAAAAAAAAAGTTTTTTTAAACCTTGAATTTAAAAATTTTAAGATTTTTTCAGTCCATTACGAATATTAAAATTGGTCGATTATTTTATTCTATTATCGCTAAATTTATACTTTTTTCATATTTGCGTACAAGTCGAGTCGAGTAGTGCATGATTCATTGATCATTGGATTTATTAGTTATGCGTATCAACCCAAGTCATGCATGCTGAGATTGTTGCAATTTGGTACAAAATATACAGGTGAAAAATGCAGACCCTCTTTATGCGTATATTCGAGAGAAAAGATAAAGAGGGAAGGCCGGGGAACAAGTGTCCATTTACCTTCAAATTTTATCGATTGAAGATCAATTTATTTGTTGTATGTACAGGGTAATTATTACCAAACGACGGAAAATATCTATCATTGGCGTCGGAAGCAAATTAAAGTGGGGGACTAAGGGTAAGACATTTTTTTAGACCTCCCAAAAAACCTGAGAAGCAAAAAATAAAAACACCCCCCCCCCCAAAAAAAACAAAAAAAAAAACAAGGGATGTGTATTTTCTAAACACGAAAATCCTATTTCGTGCGTATACCTATGCAGCTATGTTCAATGTCTATACTAAGTCTAACTTTGAAAAGTTAGACCCCCCCTCCCCGGTTCCGACGCCTATGTCTATAAAGCCAAAATCTTACTACACATGCATTTTCTGATTCCTAGAGATGGGCCTGGAAGATTTTGAAAATAAATAGACTGTTCTCGAAAAAAATTTTAAATAAATACTAGTAATTTATCATCGACTAGCAAGAAAATAAATTAAGCTGTCCTTGGATAGTACTTCCAACCCCCAATCCCTACCCGAAACGGAGTTTCTCTTTATCCTTGGCTTGTCAAACTTTTTTCAAATGCAAAAAAAAGTCATCCGTCCCTGACTTACATGATGATATGAAAAAAATCTGAAACGAATTTCACCAACCCCTCTCCTGGGCGCCCCTTTACTCACACAGTGTATGTACATTCATTTTCACAAGATACATGTATATATATTATATAGGCAGCTGCTGTAATAAGGAACAATCGTCTTTTTTTTCTTTCACTTTTCCAACTTATCTCATGTAATAATTGACTTTTTTAAAACCACCATTTATTTCAGATACTTAAGTTAATTATTTCAAAGTGGTTGAAGAAATAGATGGAAAGGAAAACCCGAAAAAGACTCAAAAATGTAGAATAATGGTTATCATCTTTATAAAAAGGAAGTTTCAAAGAACTCAAAATTAAGAAGCGAATGACGAAAAATCGAATCGGATTTAAACGAGAGCATACCCCCTCCCCCTCACACTTTTGTCGCCAATTACTTGAGTCTGTGCTGTATGTAACACAACAAAGTTAATGATATCAATTGGTCTTTATTATCTCACCTGTGCTGAAAGCTCAAGTGACCTTTATGATCACATTTTGCCCGACGTTGTCTGTTTATCCGTCTTTAAACTTTTCACATTTTCGAGTTCTTCTCTAGAACCACTGGGCCAATGTTATCCAAACTTGCCACAAGGCATTTTTTGGTAAACGGTATTCAAGTTTGTTCAAATGAAGGGCGACTTCTTAGAGGAGATAATTCAGAAAATGTGAAAATTTGCAATTAATGACATGTTTTAAAAATCATCTCAAGAAACACACTGCCAAGAATGATGAAACTTATGGGAGAAAATTTCAAGAAGTGTAGATTAAAGTTTGTTCACATAAACTCCCATCCCCTTTAAAGGTAGACTGGGACCACTTATGCATTTAAACTTTCAATACTGAGCTGATTTCTGCTATTTTCTTAGCCACAGTGCTCAGGTAAGCGATGTAGCCCATGGGCCTCTTGTAGTTCCACTGCGTCAGTACAGTATAAATATTCATTGAATCGCATAATTATTAAAAGTTGTCTTAGCATTCGATAAAGTTGTCCCACAGTTGCTGAAATCGCACCTGTTTTTCCATTCTACCCCCCCCCCCCATATATTGAGGATATGTTGCTGTTTGCAAAAACTCTGCGAACGTAGTGCTCGGTATGGTGTTCCCTGTTATGGGTATTTACATGTTCTTACAGACATCTCAGTTTTATAAAGGATTGCGAAAATGTGCTTTTGAGTACTTTTCTACATAATGCACAGTATTTAAAAATTCTGCAGCAGTGCATGTATGTCGTATATGAGCAATCAGAATGGATTTAATGTGTGCTTACTGATAATTAAAAAATCGGAGTGCAAAATTAATGAAAATACCTGACCATATTTAAACATCACTGATGCAACAGAGTGAAATACATATATGCAGCCACTGAAACGTTTCCTGGAGAGAGAGAGAGAGCTATTATACGTGTGTATTTTTTAAAGCAAAACTATGCACCCGTTCTAATTTAGTATTTTGACATGATTATTGACAATTAATGTGAATAGGCATACTTCTCTTCTTGACAGAAATGTTCTTTTATGTATGGATACTTAAAGTACAAGTACGGTTGTTTGGGGTATACATGTAAAAAAAAAAAAAAAAAAAATCTATACATACTTAGTTCTCAAGTCTTTCACTTCATGGTTGTTTGATACATAAACGGAATATTTCTCTTTTCCACAGAAAAATCATTTCACATCAACAGTACTAGTAATTTGAAAAATACTATACAATCCAAGAATGACCAGGACAAAATACTTAAAATCCAGCAATTTAAATTGATCATGTACATCATTTTATATCGCATGACTTTTTGTATACCGTGCCATATACACAAATGGTAAATGCTATAAAATTAAATTTTCACGGCCTTTAATTTATTATGGACTCTGAAAATGCATATAATATAAATAATGCTCTTTTTTAACTGTTTGTGTTTTCTGTCCTCTTTTGTAAACGCGTTAAACGTCGGCGATGTGTATTGCAGCTGACCAACTTTAGCGTGGTAGAGACGCTATCTCGGCTACTCCCTTTGATGTGGCGAGAATGTGACGTAGTATTTAAAGTTCTCGACGAGCAAAGCGTCAGCTCGTCACAAACAATGTAATCCTTTAGGGGTTTTGAAATCTGCTCTAATAGTGAAAAAGCATTTCTTTAAGGAATCACTGTCTAGTTAGGAGGGTATGTCAGGGCATCAACAATAGTGGGAAACATGGGATAATTTGCATAACGGGCGAAGCCAGTCATGTACCATACGTATACATGCAGGTTGAACTTTGACCTTTCAGTAGTATTTCAATATAGAAAAATGTACATGCCACAGGAATCACGGAGAATAAACAAGATTTACTTTTGTAGTGTTTATCACAGGGAAAACAATTGGAAATGGAAATATTTAAAGATATTCTCTGCCCTGGACATATCGGAGTCACAGGATGTTTTAATCAGCAAGGGTATTTTTCAGATTTTTGAGCATCTGGACATCTGGTCCTGCATGGGCAGGGCTCTATTAATTTTTATTCTACTGAAAGAATTTTTCCTTTGTCATTCACTTTTGGTAATTAATCATTCTGAATAATGTACAGAATCAGAGAATTATGCATGATTTTTATTTTATAATTTAAAAATTGCTTTCATTGTTTTATTGATCAATATACTATTATAAATAATAGATAAATAAAAATGAGACAAAAATAAATTATTGAATGTTTTTCAAAGATCAAGAGAGGCCAATGTGTGTTAATATGGGGGTTAAATAGTACTATCTAATAGTACTATTAGAAGCACTAAAAGTTTGTTAATAGTATAGAGATAGTGATAAATAGGGTGGCTTAATTTATGAGTTGTTAGTGAATGGTAGACTAATCATTTCGTTGATCCTGATCATCCAATTACTCTTGCATTTGAGTTAGAGACTTTTATCTATCAGTTTATTTTATACTCTATGGATCCTCTTAATTGTTGTACATGTATTGTACTCAGGTGACCGTCAAGGTCTTGAAGCCTCTTTATAGTAATCGTATTTATAAACGTGACAACATTTCCAAGAATGTAGGATACTGTTGTTTATATCCTTTACTGATACAAGTGATAATGAAATTTTCGCAAGCTGACCGCCTCGCGGAATTACGCAAGAAAGAAATAGAGAGTGATTAACTGTAAACATGAAAAATGTACTTCTCAGAAATAAATTAATTCAATCTCTTTGGCAATTTTACAGCAAACATTTTATGAGAGATACTTTTCCATAACTGCACCAGTATAATAAAAATTATATATTTACATTGTTGGCATTGTATATAGCGATCTACTTTTTGATTTTCAAATTGCTTGTTTATATTTGATTCTTGTAGATATCACTACGTTCAGACGCTCACACCATTGAGAGATGTCTAGTTTCTACAGCTATGTACAAGGTGACGTTAAGCTTAACAAGTAATATGCCCATTATAATTTACTCTAAAACTGTCTTTTAGGAATAATATTTTGAAGTTAAAGTAACCTAATGAATAATATGTTGTTTCTATATACATGTAACATCTATGAATTCGTTAGGGAAAGGGAGGATGTATATTTCAGTTTAATTACTAACAAGTGATTAATGATAAATATTGCGACAAAAGTAAGCATGATATGGTTTTACATTTATAACACCATGTTGCATAAAGCAAGAAATTATTGATAAAGAGTTACAGCAGCAGGGTCTACCGTAATAATTTAATTTGTATACATGTAAATATCTGGTTTTACCTAAATATATTACCATATTTGATCATTTAGGTTTTATTTTTATTGATTACAATGAGTAATAATTATCCTGGAAGATGTAATAAGATTTATTACAAAATGAATCAATTTACCTGCAGGGAACTACAGTAGTACTTAAAAAGTATGAAGTGACAGATTCTTCCTATGACGTCAGAGAATTAAAGCAGGTATAGGAAAAGTTCACTGACCAGCTACAAAAACTGTAATAAAATGATTTCATCAGAAAATCTCACGGATTGGTCTCGTGATATTATTCGTACCTGGGGGGCATATTTAATTACGCTTTCTACTTCAACAGATGCAGACTTTTACCTAAAATAAAGAATTAAAAAGTCATTAAAAATAAATATTAGATAAGATTATTTTCGTAGTTCTCATTGGCTGAAAGGACGTCACGTGATATTCCTCCTTCTGCGATATTGACGCGAAAGCGCGTCGTGGAAAATAATATCGCACGACACGCTGTTCGGTTGCACTAAAATTACGTAGAACTTGACGTCATAATATATGAAGCGTGTTTAACCCTTGTGACGTAATGACAGTCAAGTCCGTTTCAGTTAGGACTGAGTCAGTGCATTCAATTTGAGTGATTATTTAAGGAATGTTTTTAGGTTTTGTGTGAGTTATTGGTGTGTGAATCACACAGACTTGTCACGTATAGGCATATTTCGTGAAGCGCGCTAGCTCTTCATGAAAAATATGCCTACGTGCAAGTCTGTGTGATTCACACACCAATAATTCACACAAAACTTAAAAACATTCCTTATATTTACATTTTACATGTTTAGAAGCACCAAAGACATACTCAATATTTGAATTTCTCGCTGCCCTATATCGTTATTCTTTTACTAACGTCGCTGTAGCCTTACTGTAACGTCACGTTAACGCACGTTTCTCCGTGTATATTTCTACGCGTGAATATACACAAAAATGGTTTTCAAAACAATTTCACTGTTGGCTTAGTAGAAAATCACAGCGAATGTAAATATTATAATATAACTATTATGGACTTCAATGAACGGTCAATATGTGGTTACAGTGTATAAGGACTCATGGCAATTAATATTGACCTCAGACACGGAAAATGATAGCGACCTCGCAGGCTCGGTCGCTTTTCTGTGTCTTCAGTCAGTATCAACTGCCACGAGTCCTTATAACTAAATATCGACCTACGCTGAAGTCCATAATTGTATAATAAATGACGTGAAATGATGAATCGAATATATAAAACTTTTGTTTTCTGTAAAAAATTTTTAATGTAAATATGTGATAAAAGTACGTATTTTGTGTTCTTCTTATAATTTATGATGACAATGTTTTCCAGATTCGAGAACTAGACCATTTAAATGTAGCCAAAGTCATAGGGTTTTGTGTGGATTCTTCAAAGATTACAGTGGTTGAATATTGCAGCAAGGGGAGTTTAATGGTAAATTTCGAATTCTATATTTAAAGATCACACTTTCAGTACAAATGGAAATAATTGATAAATGTATATTCTCTACGCTTAAGTGCAATTTTTGGTTACAATTTAAGAAGAAAGATTCATATATTGTTTTATTTGTTACACGTGCATTCAAGAGTTTTTCAGTCTAATAGAGACGTCACTATATAGTCGTGAAGGGCTTTAAATTTGGACCTTTACTTGGAACTCGGGGCCCTTGAACAATTAGGCATCGATATCTTAGTCGTGTCACATTTAGAGATAATCTCGTTTTTAAGGTTTCATCTGAAGGACCTGCAACTTTCAATTCAAAGAGAATTTCAATACAGGATTTGAATGATAATTTTATAATTTATTTAATGTAGATATACAGTTATTAAAAAAACATTGCTGCCCGCATATACTACATATTTTGATTTAGGTTTTGTCTTGATTTCAGTTAGATACCTTGATGACATGTACGTAACTTTAAAAAGAGACCTTATTTTTAAATTGTTGGCTCTGTTTCTTTACAGGATATACTGGAAAACGAAGATATTAAAATGAATTGGGATTTTCGTTGCTGTCTTTTATGGGACACAATCAGAGTAAATAATAATTATTCGGAGATCCTTGTAAACTCATAAAATAATAATAATAATAATATCATGTAAAATCTATTATTAGTATTTAGAGATAAGGACTTGCATTGCATTTAGCTTAGCTGTACAATTTAACTTTTTCTTCGGATATCGGTAGTGTATAATACAGTCTTAGAAGCAAAGCTGAGAAAAGTTTTTTAATTGTATTTGAATTCAGTTGAACTTCAAGACCAGATTTACGTTTAAAAAAAATATCTGTATTTTTAAAATTCTGATATGCTATTTGCAGAAGTGACTTCTCTTATTACCTTTAAGGGTCTTGAATACATCTTTAGCTCAAATCTTCGTTACCATGGAAATCTGAAGAGTTCTAATTGTGTAATTGATGGTCGCTTTGTTCTCAAATTGACGGATTTTGGACCACGTTGCTGGATTGAGAAGAAAACGAAATGTGAAAGAGGTTAACACAGTTCGGTTTGGTTACTGATTAGGATACAGCTAAATGGCTTTTTGTCCTTTTCATAACAAAAGTATATTACAATGGCATTACAAAATACAAATGAAAAATAAAAAAAACGTTTGACATTCCAAACATATGTTCTTTAATGAGGTGAAGATGTGTGTCTTTCATCACTCTGTTTCACTCGATCTGTACGAAGTTGGAACTTGTTATTTTGTTAAGATCCAAATATCTGAAGTCAAATATTTGAATTAATGTACATAATATTAATTTTTAAAAATTACTTGATATCGTTTTTTTTTTCAAAACATATTTTTGAAAACTATCATTCTTTGATTAAATAAACTGAAAAAAAAAATGGCGGAATGAATAAACACATATTTCTTTTCACATGAAATCTTCTCATTAATAGCACATTTACCTGTCTAAACCGGATATGTTTTAATTATGCTAAAATATTGAATAACAGATTTATTATGGACTTCACCAGAGAGACTGAGATTCAGAACTCTTCAATCTCCAGGAAACTATCAGCAATCGGACATGTATTCCCTAGCTATTGTAATGCACGAATTGTTTGAAAGAAATGGTCCATTTGGAGTCGAAACAATTCAGCTACAGCCTATTGGTACCTGTTTTCAAAGCTTTTTTTTAAAAAATGGCAAAAAAAATAAAAGGTCGTATTTTTAACAGACGATCGAGAAAAAAAAATTCAGAACACATTTTATACCCATTTTTATATTTTACAGAAATTATAGAGCGGTTAAAAGGTCCAGATGCCATTAGTTTTCGCCCTAAATTTGAAACCAATGGGTGTCCCAGAAAGCTACAAGCTTTAATATCCAAATGTTGGGACGTGAACCCAGAAACTAGACTCACTCTTAAAGAGTTGAAAAAGAGCATCAAAATTTCTACGGAGTAAGTATATTCTGGAATTGACAAAACACGTTTTCTTCCTTTAAGTTATTTTCAGTCTTCCTTTAAGTTATTTTCAGATATTTTCATAAGAAAAGTAAAAATGTACCATTTTTAAATGAAATAAAATACACATGCCAGTTGGTTAAAGAGCTACATAACTAAAAGTCGAAATGAAATAACATCCAGTTTTACACGAGAATATTGACATCGATGCGTAGCCGTTGTTGACCTGATAAATCATTTCAAACACATATTAATATTTTCTTCACAATAAATTGTTTTGAATATGAATTTTTAATAATTCTCGTATACACATGTTATCAAACAATAAAGTTTACTAACGGAAATAAATTATTTTATTCGTATCTTTAGTAAATATATCGTTTATATAACCATGCGCATATTAAATTTACTTTTTTCTCTAGCAAACGCGTCTAACATAATCTGCATTTAAGTATTTTACCTCGACAAAAAATTTACTCCAGGTAACTATAGTTTACTATAGTTAACTAAAGTGAATACTTTGATTTTAAATGAAAATTTACCTTAGTTCTTTTTGAAAACTTGGAACCTTTATATATGATCTTAAATTATATACAGTGACGTAATTGTTTTTATTAAATATACAAGAAATAGTTCATTTTCATATAAAAAACAAAAACAAAAATACATGTGCATGTAGAAAGTTTAAAAAATTGAATATATCTATCTGAAATTCATTGTTCGAATACTTCGATTTACTTAAGTGAAAACTTTGATTTACTACAGCTAACTAATATAAAGTAAATTTTGGTTACTAGTAACTATAGTCAACTATAGTACTTTTTTCGAAAGGTACTTTAAAAATCCTTTGTTTTATTATTTATTTAATTCTGAAATATCGAAATTTAAATTTTGGCGACAGTGTCAAGGCCGAGAATTTCTTCGATAACCTTCTGAACAGAATGGAGCAGTACGCTACAAACTTAGAGGACCTCGTGGAAGAGCGAACGTCAAAATACCTACACGAAAAGAGGAGAGCTGAAGACCTTCTCTATCAACTGCTACCACAGTGAGTGATTTTCAGAAGGCATTGTATGTAACTGTACCTAAATCCACACGATTAAGTTTTCAATATGTTTTAAATTTTAAACGTTTTTTTTCTTGCAAATACATCTATAAATTTGCCGGTTAATGTTCTCAAAGTAAACTTAAAGTCCATCAGTTGCTCCTTCTCTTTTTGATTCTTAATTTAATGTAGCTTTTTTAAAATGGGATTTCATGACCATAATGTGTTAGTTCTCCCAAACACACAAACAAATGGACAGGTGAAAAAAGGACGGACGCAATGTATGTTACAAAAGCGAAGGAAAACATGTTGCTGTCTGTAATGTATAAAGAATTACTACCGTTGTATTTCAGGTCGATTGCTCATCAGATTCAATGCCAGGGATTTGTGGAGCCTGAATCGTTCGAGTCTGTTACCATTCTGTTTACTGATATTGTACAATTTACAGCCATTTCTTCCGAATCATCGCCATTACAGGTGACATTTATTTAGCGCTGTTTCCGTTCAGATTGAATTTCTATTCTTTATTAATAAATACAAAGTTCTACCATGAATTTCAGATTGTGGAGATGTTGAATGACCTGTATTCCAGTTTTGACGATATAATTACCTCATATGATGTGTACAAGGTGAACTTTTACAAATCAATATTTTGTGATAATAAACAGTAATTTGATAGTGCAATATCGAACTGTTCTGATTTAAACAAAAATATTTAACCATTTTCAGTGCTAAACTAGATAAAACTAACTGACAGGATACCATAAATATTAAATGACAAATAGAAACAAAGTCAATAAGCCTAGAAATGAACAATTATTTTTTGTAAAGGTGGAGACTATTGGGGATGCCTACATGTGTGCCTCTGGTCTGCCTCAGAGGAATGTTTATCATCATGCAGAAATGGCCAAACTTAGCATATCCATAATGAGGACAGTCAATAAATTCAAAATACGTCACAGGCCGCGTAAAAAGCTCGAACTGCGCGCGGGAATCCATTCAGGTATGAAGATACTTAAATCCCGTAAAAATTTCATTCATATTATTCATGATTAACAATTATAGAGGTTTCCATTACTATTTTAGGTCCTTGTGTTGCTGGTGTTATTGGTGTCAAAATGCCAAGATACTGCTTGTTTGGTGATACTGTGAATACGGCTTCAAGAATGGAAAGTACTGGTGAAGGTTCGTGGCTATTATATACACGAATCCAATACGATTTGAAACATTTAAACTGAGAAAGAACAGAGTCATTTGTTAATGTCATTTCAAGACATACAATGCACCTAGTCAATTTATCCCTATTTTAATTAACAAAGAACTGCATTATCGTGAGCCTTTTCAATAAATAATTGCTGTAAAGTGTTACCTTAATAATGTGATTTTTTTTAGCTTCAAAAATACAAGTAAGTGGTTCCACTGCAACACTCTTAAAGGACTCACCTGATGTTCATCTCAGCACAAGAGGAGAAATCTTTATCAAGGTATCATTATAACTATGCAAAAGAATAATACAGAGCTCAAAACGCAGATTAAATTTCAGTTGCTGCTACATACATAATACAACTTTCTTTAGACGTTTACTAATAATGGTTAATACTTCATTTTATGCATACCTTTAGTAAATCAATTAAATATTTTACAGCAAAGATCTTTCAATATGTTAGATAATATTTAATATGGTTCGAATATTTAATATTAATATGAAAAATATGCATTTGTTAATGATTTTCAGTTATTATTAGTTCTGTATTAATATTTTCCGTGAACAAGGTCTCTGAAACATAACAATAACATAAGGTTGATGAAATAAATACAATAATAAAAACTTGATAACAATTAAAACGTGATATAAACATAACAATCTTATGAAAATATGTAATTAACATTAAAGCAATTATTCAAAATAAAAAAAAGTACATTGTAACCACAAGATTTTGGCCAACTTAAAGGGACATTGACACAGTTTCAGCTTTAAAAAATTCATTTTTTTTTCTATTTTTTGGTACTGATTATAATATATAAATCAGGCATTCTAATGATCATCAAAAATTTAAATTTTAGTTGTCGAGATACAAGACAGATTTAGAGCTCCAAACCTTTGTTATGTAAACAGGGCCAGTGCAATGATTTTGTTTACATAGGTTAAAGACATTATTATATGTGCCTTCAAAACTTTTTTTTTACAAGAAAGAAGTTAATTCTAAATACGATTAGTCAGTTTCTAGTGATTTAGTGAGATCTTTGTTATAAATATGATATTTTCTATATATAAACAAAAACAAGGCACGAGCCATGTATACATTTTGAAGAATTTAAACTTCTGTATCTCCTTTGTAAATTAAATCAACAAATGATGTTTAAATTGTTGCTGATCATTAGAATTGCCTTTAGTTAGGAATTGTAAATATTAAAACTGATTAAAATATTAATTAAACCTGTGTCCATGTCCCTTTAATACATAAATTTAATGAGTATATGTTTAATGTAAATTAAGCATTAAAGGAATCTGCTTGTGAATGTTATCATAAATTATATTTTTTCATTACTAGTTATCTCCCTTTGCAGATTTAGAAAATATGTTTACGAATAGCTGAAAGGATTTTTTAAATTGTTACCTCATATTAACCTTCAATAAATATGAAACCTCAAGTTTACCTTTAATTTGCTTATTATATATTATAAAACTTCGAATATCCTTATACCCATTTTTTATATGTAATTTTCAAATGTAGATCATGAAAACTGAAGCAGAACAATCTAGCTGCATTTTCTCATTTAAAAATTCGTAAAATAAAAAAAAGAGGATGATATATATTTTTTAATTTTAAATCGTCTGTTCTAAAGACTTTAAAAAATGATCACTACGAAGTATTTTTCTTTTAAAAATCTTTAAAAAGTTGAAACCTTTTTTTCAGATTCAATTGGTCTTGGCATATATATACCGCATATTCTCAGAAAAGCTAATTACTTTAAGATTGCTACCTCATTCACACCATTTAGCCCTGAATGTTACTCTTTTTATGTAGGGTAAAGGAGTAATGCTGACATACTGGTTAGAATGGAGGGAGGTTGGTACTAAAAACTTGTCAAGTTTAGAGGAGTCGACTTTGGAATCATCGCAGCACTCAATGTTGAACTGTAATGAACAACCTGCAGGCTTGAGTAATCACTTCACTAATGTACTGTTATAACATATACATAAAGAGATTTCTTCTGGTTTCTTTTCAACACAGTTTTAAATTCTATCTGTATTTATAACAACCTTTCACAATGAAGACTAACCAGCATAATTTTATTTTTAAAATGAATTCTTTCTGATAAATTTCATAGGAAAAGTTCATTTCTGAAAAAAAATCAAACTATAATGTACATGTTTATATGTTAATAAAAACTTGGTAACTCACGATAAAGCTTTCTAAATAATTGTTTTCAAGATGATTCCTAAAACTGAACGCTTGAATTACGAAAAAAATTGACAATTTACTTCATAATTGTGTAATAAAAAATTATTCTCGTGAAGATGTTATGCAAGTTGATCTGAGAAAGAGCCGAGTATGGTAAAGACTACATTTAATTCTTACAAGAATTGAATATTAAAACACAGTACATTACTCAAATTTAAAGTTAGGTATGAAAAATAGAATTGATTGGAATTATTAGATGGAAAGTGATCGGTTTTTTTTTTTTAATTTAGCAGTTTTCATTTTTTTGTTCAGAGAGAGATAACGACGAACTGAAAAGACCTTTTCTTACCTTGTTCTTCATTTAGATGGATAATTTTCTGTTCAAAACATGCTCGAGAAAGTTTTGGGAGTTAAAAGCAAAGTAGATGTCTCTGTTTAGACCGTAGCTCTACTGGTTTGTACTTAAAACAAATGAGTCAAAAGTTTGCAACAGCAGTAAATAAAATGATTCTTGATTTAGTATCTTTTTGTGACAGGGTTGCAACAAGACTAAAACTGTAAGAGAAGTAGCCTTTTATAAGTCTTTCACAGAAATTTCTAATTGTAGTAGCCATGGCAACACCATTCATCGAAATTAAAAATCGATTCACAAAATTGTATTTCTTTGTGTATTCTACTTGTGCCAAGTTATATTGAAATCAGACTAAAACTGCAGGAGGAGTAACATTTTGAATGTATGTCACAGGAATTTCTATTTTAAGTAACCAAGGCAACAACGTTCATCGAAATCAAAAATCGATGTACACAATTATGTATCTCCGTGTAGTCTACTTGTGTGCCAAGTTATATTGAAATCAGACTAAAACTGTAAGAGGATTAGCATTTTGAAAGTATGTCACAGAAATTTCCATTCTCAGTAACAACGGCAACATCGTTCATCAAAATCAAAAAACCGATGAACAGAATAAAAATTATTATGTATCTTAGTGTAGTCTACTTTTGTGCAAAGTTGAAATCTAAATAAACTATAGGAAGAGTAGCATTTAAAAAAATGTTTACATCAGATGGACGGACAAAAACAGATAAATTATTATTTGGCATAATATAAGATAATGTAATGAGAGAGTGTAACACGCAACAAAAACACGTGCTAAAGACAAATGTATGTAGATGGGAAAAAGTTAAACAAACAACAGAACTGAACATGTACTTGCCCATCGCCGAACAGCAAAGTTTGCAAAATTTGATCAAAAGATTATTGCCAAAAAATTGCTTAACTGTAGTTGATATAATGATCTCCATGATATAGTACAGATTTATCACTTTTAGATGTATCAAAACTTTATTGACATATGCTCTTCATACAACGCTTTTGCAATTATCAGTTTACCAATAAAAAGTACTTGGCTGTAATAAAAAAGCAATCCATGAAGCTTTTAAATCTGCATTTTAAACCCCTTTTTCTCCCGAAAAATCTAGGTTGCTTCATATGCTCTCTTGCTTACTTTATTTGTGCTAATAGCGTTTAAGTTACTAAAGCCGAAAAGTCTTTAGAAAACATGTTTTTATCAACATTCAGATTCAAATGTAAACAAAAATGTGTTTACAACTAGAAGTATTGAAACACATGGGCATTATTTGTCTGTCACTCTTCATTATTATTATGCAGATTCTAAATGTTTCTGAAAAAAAATATTTACATTATCATATTCGTATGTTATTGCTCATACCTCACATTTTTAAACTTTGGAGAGGTTTCCATAAGGCTGTAATTTGGCCCATGTTTTTTTGCGAAAAATGAAATTAGATTGCCCACAATTTTCAACTTACTTTCATTATTTTCAACATGTCTCATTTTGTGCTGTGTATTTTATTTTGCGAGAAAAAGTTAGGATAAAATTGGAATAAACAATCAAAGTATGGTACCCTCAACCGCTTTAACATTGAGTATATGGGAAAATGTTGGAGGATTATGTTGTTTAACCTTCTAGTACACCCCGTGTTGCATTCTGAACCAAAACCATAATTTAATAATTAATTACTTATATGTACAGAAATATTACTCTGAAATATGGTTGTGGTTCTCAATGCAACACACACTTAAATACTAATGACTTTTCAAATTTTGCAATCTGTTGAGTTATGGTTAATTTTATTCAAACATTTAAAGTGATTCATACACATTTATAACATTATCCAGTTAATCAAACAGATTACTAGTAATTCCACCCTAACTCTGAAGGAGAGGGATATACTTTTTTACCCTTGTTTGTCTGTCTAGCTGTCTGTGTGTCTGTCTGTAACTAACATTATCCAGTTAATCAAACAGATTACTAGTAATTCCACCCTAACTCTGAAGGAGAGAGGTATACTTTTTTTACCCTTGTGTGTCTGTCTAGCTGTCTGTGTGTCTGTCTGTAACTAATTTTCTTCGCAATTTTTCGGCAACTACTCATAGTAAATGATTGATGCTTTTAACACACGTTTTGCATGTCATATGGTGACATTTATTTTTGTATGAATACAATGTCAACTTTCTGTTTATATGTGTGTCTGTATGTACCAAATTTCCATCACGGTTTTCTCGGCGAATACTCATTGCAGATTCTTGAGATTTTAGTACACTCTTTGTTCAGGCATGCCATATAATTGTGAGATATTCATGAGAGTCAATCAGAGTGTGGGTTTTACTACCGGGTATTAAGTACTGGCTTGTCCTTTTATACATGTATTACAAGCATACTATGATGTCAAACATGAAAGAAAAAAATAACTGATTAAATTATAACTTGCTTGTATGTCTGTTTGTGAGGAAAACCAAAAACTTTGACACTAGAGAAGGTAGTTGCACTGTGTAAAGATCAAGCTCAGACTTATCATTTCACAGTAAACAATATTAATTATTTAATGTAAATCTAGGTAAAAGTTTCTTGATTTGGGTATTTTGCCGTTTCACAGATTTAACTTACATTCTTTTGTTTTCAAAAACCCAATGCCCTCAGTAACCAGCTCCCTTCAACTTAATGTGAATTTGAATTTTACAAGATGTTGATGCAGTTTGTGCCTTGATCTGTCCTAAATCTATTGCTCAAATAACCAGTGGTCTTACCCGCTGCATACAAAGTTTGGGGGTATGTATAGGAATCGCCTTGCCCGCCTGGCTGTCTGTTTGTCCGTCTATCTGTGCAAACGTGTCCTGTTCATATCTTTTTTACGGAGGAACACAAGAATTAATACTTCACACCTTGATCCAAGGTCATTTGGGCAAGTTCAAACGGGCACCTCAGATGTCAGGGGAGATTTTCTGAATGATCATCTCTGGGACACGGTAATAACGTACTAAAATGAAGACATTTTGACAATATCTAATTTTGTAATAAGATAAGTTGATGGAACTACATTGTATTAAACGTTTTTTAATAGTCTGTATATAATTTAACCACACAAAGTAATGGTCGAAAAGGATGCCTCCAAATAACACATGTCAAGCAGAATCTCTAAATATAAACTAAGGTAGTGTTGATCTGTTGTGGGTAAGGATTCAATCCTACCATGTATCCTTTTATCGATATTTTGATCTTGAATACTGTTTGTTATCTCCGTATGTAAATGTATCTTCATGAGATATCTGTAGATATTAGTACCTTTCATTGGCAATTGCCAATTATCACCAAGCAGTGGGTAGTATGGTCAGAGCAAAGTAAAATCAGGAACTATTGGTTTATGTACATAATTAAGTACCTGCGGTTACAAAAACATTTTGAAAAAAATAATTAAGATACGTTTCACATGAAAATGAGTACAGACATGGAATCAAAGAATATATCTTTAGAATTTAAAAAAATGGATTTAAATGAAATTTGATAAAAGACACATCTAAGATTTTGCATCCAATATCAATAAATAGAATAAGTACATGTAAATAATGTTTAATGCCTGTGTACAGTATACACTTATAAAATATTTTAGTATTGCAAAACAATTTATTGATAAGAGATTTATACACTTCCTATGAGTCAATCTAAATGAAATACTATTAAATCTGTAGCCAACATGTATATTTTATCCACCTCCATGTCTCTACGAGCAATAAACTCACTGGAAGTGAATTTTCAGCAATCTAACAAATAATTTTAATCAAGCGAGTTTATCACTTGTAGAGACGACTATAAAGGGTTGGGAGATGGATAAAATATACAGATTAGTTATATAATATGCCTAGAATTAGGGAGTGAAAGGTAGTTAATTGACTGGAAAGTGGAGAAATTCTCCCCAAAAGTGCGAAAAAATTCTGCGCTGTATAATGCACCTTTTTTGTATTACGGGATCTGTAGCGTTAGGGTCAAAGACAAATATATAAAACCATAACGCTACAGATCTGCAGCTACAATTACAGAAGTTCTTTTTCCAAAAAATATTAAATCAGTTAATCTTTTGTGTTACTTCAGCCCTGTTCTGTGTTCCCTGATGATATATGGTTAATCTTTCTTTGGTTTTTCACAATGAATAGTCTTTTACAACAGGCACGTAGCATCGTTTTTGAAAGTGGGGGGGGGGGGCAGCCAGAGAACATTTTTTTTACTTACCTGTAAAAGTTAACAAGCCCCCCCCCCAAAAAAAAAAAAAAACAGAAAAAAAATTGCCCAAACTCGAAAATCCTATTTGGGGGTGGTGGTGGTGGGGGGTGGGGGGGTGGGGTAGTGGCCAACTTTTTCCAAAGCCAACTTTCTTTCATTTCCAATTTTTTTTTGCATACATTACTACATTTCCTTGATATCACTATTCTGTGGTAAGAAGTGGGGGGGGGGGGGCAACCAACCTTTCAATAAACAATTTTCAATAGTAAAGGTAATGTTCGGGAAAAAAAGTGGGGGGGGCAGGCCATGTACAAGTAATAAATCTTC